AAGTGACAGGACCAGGTAACCAACTGAATATGGGAAGTGAAAGGAGAGTAAAGAATTAAAGACTCCATCATCTCTGGCTTGAAATAGATAAAAGACAATGTTCAAACAAAAAGAGAATACTGGGAATATAACCAGTTCTCGGGGAAAATAATGAGCTCTATCTTGAATATTTTTAAGGTTAAAAGACCTATAACACATTGAGTAGTAGAGCTGAAAAGGTATGTCAAAAGCTCATGAGGCAGTTTGGGTGTAGAGAAAGAGCTACAGGAATCATCAAAATATAGTTCATATTTAAAACCATAATAATGGTAAGATTGCTCAGGAAATGAATATAGAAGAATATGACTAGGACAGAAGCCTTGAGAGCACTGAGGCTTAAGAAAGTAGGCGAAGGAGGAGCAACTTAGGAAAGGAGAAAGAACTTGAGACTTATAAAGAGAATGAGAAGTGTGTAGCATTATGAAATCCAAGGAAGGCAATTCAAGGAAAGGATGGCTCAACAGTGTCAATTATCTCAGAAGACCAAAAAAGGTTAAGAGTGGAAATGGATATGGCAGCGTGAGAATGGTGACATCAGATATCAAGCGGCAACAGGCTAGAGAATGGGAATTAATAGTCTTCTTTGTTCATAAATAATGGTTAAAAGGGAAGAATGGGATAAGAATAATGGCTTAAGGGAATGAAAAAGTAAAGGCAAAGTTTTTGTTGTTTAAAGGTTACTTGTTTATGCTGTAAGTGCAAGAACCAGAGGGAGAGACTGAAAATTCAAAAAAGGAAGAGACTGCTGTGACTCACTCACTTGGCACTTAGCTTACACATGTGCTTTATATTGGTAGTACTATACATTTAGCAATGCTGGCACAAACTAAGTGCTCAACAAGTTGACTTCTTATTGTTTTTCTTCGTGTATTTATGCATATTATCTGGTCAATAAAAGTGTACAATCTTACACAAGAATATACAAAAAGAAGGAAACAGTGTGGTGGAATTGTGGAAAGGGACTTAGAGCAACACAGACCCAGAACAAGAACATTTATCCAGCACTTAGCAGTATACAGACCAAAGAAAAATCATTTCACCTCTTTGCACCTCAGTTATTCAACTGTTAAAATTGGGAAGAATACTGTGCATTCTTGCAAGCTTGTAAGGAATAAATGAGATATTTAAGAAGCACTTTATGTACAACTTGGTGCTCAAGAAGTAGTAATAATAATTATTATAATCATTTTTCCTACCATTAGAGCACCTAGAAGTGTCCCTGACTTTTCAGAATGTGTCTATAACTAAGGGTAAATAAATAACCCAGAAGTACAGCAGCCATTGCTCTACTATATTTCAGAGAATGAAAGCATAAAATGACATCAGCTTTTGGTCAGACTTTTCAAAACTTTGATCGTTCTTGTACCACCAACATGATTTCTGCCACATCCAAGTACTGCAACTTAATACTCTTCTTTAAATCAACTCGTTTTTAACGGTCCCATTCTAAAGAATTATAACTGTGAAGTGGTGGGTTTGATGTTTTCTCTTTTTTTTTCTAATGTACATTAACTATTAAAACAAAACATTCATCCCCAGAACCACCTGAGTCATCTCCCAAACTACAGTCTAAAACTGCTTTTGGCTGCTCTACTTTTCAGACCCTTAAGAAGAGAACAAGCTAGCAGCTGGTCAGTATACTTAATTTTCCTGCCATTAACAATTGCCACTACAAAGGTTTGCAGAACATACTAAAGAAACCAACCAAATGACAAAGTTTACGCCAATAATATACGCTGAATCTTCTCATGGGAAGTCTTAACGTTGTCTAAAGCTAAACGGACAACCTAGCAATTTATCTTTTATTTAATCCCTCAACCTTTATTTTCTCAATTACAAATGAAAATGAGATTAGGAATAAAGCCCAATTTTGTGGCCTAGGCTGAAGAATAAAACCAAGGGGAGGAAAAATAAAGTAGTGGGTTTTGTTCGGAAGCACTTAGCAGTTCAGTTGAAAGAAATGGTAGCCATGCAGATCATCCAAAGTGAAAAACTGCTATCTTCAAGATAGTGATACACTCCTCTATAAAGGCAAACCATGATCAGTTATCAACCAATACTTTTTAAATCTATACTATAAACCAGGAAGCTCTCCTTCACTCCAACAATAAAAATCACCAACCAGAACGAGGAAAGAGAACTTCATTCACTGAGAACAACTACAGATACTTTACAAATATGATTTTGGAGCCAGTCTTAAATCCACTCTATTAAGACCCACACTACGCATTTTTAAAAAGTTACTCCCTACAATCCACTCTCTTAGAGTTATTGACCTATTCATTCAGGGGTAAAAAAAAAAACTGTATCCTAAACCTAAAATATTCAGGACAGTATGGAGAATATGAAAAGATCAAAGAATCTGTTTACAATCTAGCATAGGGAATAAGATTTATATATTCCTCAAATGGTTGTTCTCAGGATCGTTGGGAATTTTTTCCCCAATACTGTATTATGAAAAACTTAATAGGACAAAGTTGAAATTTTGCAGTGAGCACACAAACACCCACCACTGAGATTCTACTATTTTCACTATACTTGGTTTATCAATCCATCTTATTAGGATGAACTACTGGGATTTTACAAATGAGACTGTGTAAAAGAGAATTTTGGTAGGCCATAGTAAGGCTGCTTCTCAAAACTTTTGATTGATAGGGTGCATGAACAAAAAAAGTTTGGAAACCACAAATCCACACTCAGTGTTTAACTCTCCTGCCAACCTACAATCAAAATCCATTCAGATCTCATGGCTGGCCATTTATGTTTCCACACCCTTGCCCACTACCTGAACTATATCCTTCCCAGCCCTCTTTCAAGGCTCAGCCCAATCTGTGAAGCCTTTCCCAGCTTTCAAACCCTCATTCAGAATTAACCATGCCCCCTATAGGGGCCATATTTTTCATCAATTGTAATTAGCTCACAGTATCTACAACTTGGTTTTGTCTTTTACTAAACTGACCTCCGTAAGTACTGAGATTCCCTTTTTTTGGTCTGAATCCTCGGCAACAGGCATGGTACCTAGCCTACAGCAAGCAATAAATGAATATAAATAAATGACTCAGACCTGTCTTTACCAGGAACCAGGGAAGATTTTAGGTGAGTATGGAAAGGATCTAATAATCACATTGGCACTTTAGATTTGTCTTAGAGCACTGTTAAGATCATGAGCTCTGGAGTCAGACTGCCCCGGCATGAATCCTGGAATTTCAGCTCTGCTGTTTATTGCTGGGTGACTTTGGGCAACTTTCTAAACCTCCTGTGCCTTAGTTTCTTATTTGGAAAACAGGGATAATACTGCTTCACAGGTTATTGTGAGGATCAAATGAAATAATTTTGTTGTTAAAGCACACAGATTAGCGCCTGGCACATATAGTCAGTCACTGTCACCAGCAACCAGATTAACAGTGACACTGAGGTAAAAAGTCCTTAAAGCTTGGGTGGCAGCAATGAAAACAAAGTAAAAAGAATCCTTATGAATGAAGAATCTATTGAAAAATGTTCAGTCAAGAAGGCAAACAAATGAATGTTGTATTTTTTTGCTACTTTGTTTGAGATAGCTCTTTACTAAAAATTTTATTATTAAAAACAGCTATAATCTATCCAATCCAGACACAGATTTGATGATGTGCACAAGGAGTTCTAGCATGAATGCACTGTAGTCACAAACTCTATGACCACTGCAAGCTTCTTGATGCAGGTCTTCCAGTCTCTCAGATGAGATTTTTTTCCTCCACATTACTCCACCCAGGACCATTTCTTTGATTCTCACAATTCCCTGTCCTGTCTTCCAATTGTGACCACATACCCAAGAGCCTTGGTTGGAAAATGGGTTTGAGGTTTTGTCCTACCCAACCCTGTACTACTTTTTCTTCTTCTTGCCCACCTCCTTTACTTCTCAAGCCTTGCTATTCTCCACACGTAAGAACTTGAAACCTAAGAGTATGGGAAAGCAACAGAGCAACAGGAATGGTGCCAAGAACTGGGGAATGCTGCCAAGCTCTTCTGTAGGCCCCATATGCAGTGACCAACTACATGCAGAGATTGGATTTAACTGCCCATGGGGCCTCACATGCTTGATATTCCTTTTTGCTCCTGTTCATTCTCTTTCTCCCACTTAAAGTAGCCCTCCCAAACCCATAACCCATTCAAATCCAATCCATCCCTGAAGAACTAGAGATCCATCTTCTTCAAGTCTCCCCTGACCCTTTTAGCCCATAGATATACCCTCCCACACACAGATTCTGTACTTACAGTCTGTACCATAAAGCATAATCACATACACACTTATACCATTAAATAAATTTCATGTTTATATATTTGGTTTTCCACGGGCAGGAAACCATGACTCACAGTCCCTTAAACCCCTCACTCTCAGTGGTCTAACACTTGTTGAACAGTGACTGAATCAGTGGGTTTTTTTTTTTTTTTATTTGTTTCGGTTAAGGCAGGAGGAGCTAGAGGCATGTTGAAATGAAAAAGGCTGAATGGACAGATGGGTAAAAAAAAAAAAGCGCACAGGGTCAAAATGGGGGGAAAAAGTTGTAGAAGAAAGGTATTCGATTATCTGCTTAATTGATTTGTTGCCAGGTTGGAGACATACGTAAGAGAGATGCCAAGTAGAAAACTGTGGAAAAAGGCATGACAGCTTGAGGCAGAAGACAGCAGGAGAGAGATGGGATCACAAAAGAAATTCAGCTAAAACCCAGAGACAGGCCACTGGATAAGTGAAGATAAGGGGAGTTACTGGGATGACATGGGTAGATGTGGTTGTGTTGGTGAGCGAACCAGTAGGGGGGGTATGAAAGGGTGGGTAGATGGATAAAATGATAAAGGTTAAGCAAGTGGATTAGCTGATTAGGCGGTGAGTAGGTGGGGGACAGGTTAGCAGGTGGGTGGTTAGGCGTTTAGCTGGGAGGGAATAGGTGTGGGGCATATTATTTAAGATCCGGCCCCTCCCTCACCTTGACCCGGAAGCGGATGAGTGCTAGCCTCACGCAGTGGCTCAGGCAGGCCGGTGGCAGGAACCAGGCCCGTGGAGGAGGGGTGCCCTTGTTGCCCACGTGTCCCACGATCAGTTGCGCTGTCTGCCGTTCGGCCTGGCACCGACGGCCCCATTCGGCCAGCCGGTCCTTTCCCAGGCCCCCGGGGAACATGACCACCAGCTCCAGGCCGTCGCCGCCGGGATAGGCACAAGCCTGGCATAGCGCTGACAAGTAGCCCAGCATGGCGTTCCATTGGCCGCCACACACCCAGTCCGTCTGGTAGCCACCATAAAGCCGCGGAAGCGCCGAGCCCGCGTCCACAAGCACCCGGGCCCCGGGCAGCGGAGGGGGCGGCGGCGGCAGCGGCGGGTGCAGCCCAGGGTGCGCTTGGCCGTGGTGGTGGAAGTGGTGAGCGGGGTGATGGTGCCGAGTCGGCCCCGCGCCCCCGGAGTAGGCACCCAAGGCAGCGGGCGGGAGCGGCGGTTGCAGAGGCGCGGAGCCCCTGGTGGTGCGTGGAGCCCCGGGCGCTAGTGCCGCCGTAGGCGGCAGCTGACGATGCTGGTGCTGTTGCTGCTGGCGCGAGACCGTGCGCGCGAGTTTGAGGAGGTCCACGGGCACCACGGCCCCGGGACAACGCTTCTCCAGGAACTCTTGGAAGCCCTGGACGCCCATGCTTCGTCGGTGGGCAGACGAGACAGCGGCTGCGCGAGCAGGTTAGGCGGCGATCTGGGCGCGAAGCAGGGGGCGGGCGCCTGCGCACTCCGCGGGGGGCGAGAGGGGCGGGAAAAGGATTCCCGAGGGGAGGGGTGAGCGAGCGAGGGGATGAGGGCGGGGTGGGGAGGAGACCACAGATCGGATTTGGGTGGGGAGAAGGGGTGAGGCCGACCCGATTTAGGAGAGGCTGGGAGGATAAGAGCAATGACGGGCTCTACTGACTTCTCTCCCCCCCCCTCACCGGCCGCTCTTCACCGCTTCAAAAGGGGTGGAGCTTCTTCCTTCCACCTCCGGGAGCCATGTTGTCTCGTCTTCTCTATGGTACACGCTTTCCAGCTGCGGGAGGGGGAGCCGGGCCGGGCGGAGGGGCATCCTGGGAGTTGTAGTCTTCTTTATGGTCTCAGGATGCAGTCCAGGAACAAGATTACCACCTCTTTCTGCCCTAGCGCTCACAGGATCCGAGATGGCGGGGAGTGATATGTGTTTAGGATTTGCACTCCAATTCCCTCTATCCGCCGAGTTGCTTCAGGATATTTACCGCCTTTCCCAGGAAAAGGAATTTGGGGGGGAGAAGTGATGCATCATGGGAAAGGAAGTAGCGTGGATTGAGATCAGCTAAACAACGCTAAAATTCGCTAGGAGGGAGCGTTTTCCTTTGCGGGGGGGGGATAATATGCGTAGTTTTTAAATGAATGCGATGGGACATATGAAATTTAAGTGCTAACCAACATTTCTTTAGTAACCCACGTAACTTTTAACACCGTAATTCTTCGAAGAGTTGTTGACCCCAATTTATGAGTGGTGAAATCGACATTATTTGCCCAACCCAATGCAGAGACAAAGTGAAATTGAGTATCACTTTTTTTTTTTTTTTTTTTCAGAAAGTTTTTGGTCAGGGAATAAGCACCAACACAGATTAAACTGCAAGTTGTACCTTTCCACTATTCATTGAGCTACAGCGTCGTATAGTTTGGATCTTTGTTTCCAAATCTCGCTGAATCTGTCAGGGAGCTCTTGCAGAGTAATTGCAAGGGCTACAATTGCAGATGTACAGAATTTTATAAGAAAAAAAAAAAGATTTTCAGCCTGCTTCTCAGTTGATTCTGAGGTAGCAGTAACTGGCTTTTAGGGCCCACTCTTTTAGCGGGAGGAGGGCAGAAAACAAGATCTGTTTTATAATGATGAGTAGTAGCCAGATCTGGCTTGGAACATAATGAAAGATGGGAGGTAATAGCAGGCAGAGTTAGAATGCAGAAGTGCAGAACCCAAGAGTAGTCAAGATGAATGAAGTTTGAGAACAGTCTAGTAGGATTCAAAAGCTGAAAATGCTTCAAGCTCCATAAAGGAATTTATCATAAAAGAACAAGACAGAACAAGCTAGATTGGCAAGGAATAAATAGATGGTGAAGCAGTGCACACAGATAACTCTTGAAAACGAGCAGTGAAAGGAGAGCACAGTGGCTTGAAGGGATGAAAGATGGAAAGAATAGAGGTTTTCTAGTACAGTAAACACCTATTGGATTGTCTCTCAACCCTCATTTTCTGAGAATTGACCCTCCTACCATTGACAGAGTTACAGCAAAAACTGCCATGTTCTTATAACCATAGCTGAATGGTAGAAAGGCAGGCAAATAGTCCAAGCTGGGTCAATTAGAATCTCATTCTCTGGGGGCGCCTGGGTGGCTCAGTGGGTTAAAGCCTCTGCCTTCGGCTCAGGTCATGATCCCGGGATCCTGGGATCAAGCCCCGCATCATCATTGAGCTCTCTGCCAGTGGGGAGCTTGCTTCCCCCCTCCCCCTGCCTACTTGTGATCTCTGTCTGTCAAATAAATAAATAAACTCTTTAAAGAAAAAAAAGAATCTCATTCCCTAGAAAATTGGAATTGGGCCAGAGAGATCAGTTTTTCTCTAAGCATAAAACTTGGAAGCTGTCAGCAATTTTACCACAGAGGGACAGAAATAAAATATACTGGTCTATAGAAAGTGAAGAAAAATGCAGATTGCCAGCATAGAAATGAAAGATAGTCTTCGTGTTTAAGTTCCAGGTTCTTTATCATTCCTGAAGCATTTTTGGTCCTGTGAGGCAACCCCATATCCTTACTATTACTATTTTTCAGGCAGAATTGGGTTAGAAACTACTTACAAAAACACATACACACACAAAAAGAACACCCTTCAAGAACTGATATGGGAAATGGAGTGTGACAACTTACAGACCCTAAAATATGGAACTGGCAGAGACTGGAGATCTCCCACATCAGTTAATGGGAAGTTGGCATTCTGTGGTATTTGGCAGTGAAGCAGTTGCTTATTGCTCTTGGGACTCAAAACAGAGCAGCCCTTCTGCCTGTATCAAGAGATGTGCAATTGCTGAGTGTCCGATTTTTGTGGGCTTTGCTGACTTAGAGCAGTAGAACTCTCTCATGTCAAATGTTTCACTGATTAGGAAATTGCCATCTAGGTAATTGGAATGAGGTTATCTGTATAAGCCTTATAGATTCCTTGTTCTCCAAATCCCCCAAGTGTGATGATGTCTCCCTCTGTAAATGCATTCAGCTGGAATGCAAGGAAGAGAGGATAGGTGTAACACACCCAAGGAAGATTAGAAAAGAGGGATGGGGTGGCTGGGTTGCTCAGTCAGTTAAGCGCCAGACTCTTCATTTTGGCTCAGGCTGTGATTGTCATGGGATCAAGCCCCGTGTTGGGCTGGGTGCTCAGTACAGAGTCTATTTCTCCCTCTCCCACACTCTCACTCTCATAAATAAAATCTTTAAAGAGAGACACAGAGAAAGACACCTCATAGCTTTGAACTCAGCCTATTATTATCTACCCAAGCTCTGAACTGGAGACCTTGAGCAGAATGCCAGAGGGAATAAGCCAAATCATTAGGTAGAGTGCTAAGAGATAGAACCTGCAACATGATGAGCCAGGTTATTCCCTTTAGTAGATCTGAAGATTCAAAGAGAATACTTTGACAAGATTCTTGGACTTGTTATTAGCATTCTGAGTCCCCTCAAATGAAATCCACAGGCAGTCAAATGAAGTTTTGAGGAAGTTGTATCACCAGAAAATCTTTTATCTAGTGACTAGGGACCGTAAACAGTGATTTTCAAAGTATGGTCCCTGGACCAGCACATCAGCATCACCTACAAACTCAGAAATTCTCAGGCGTCACCTCAGACCTGTAGAATCAGAAACTCTGTGAGTGGGGCCAGCAATCTGTGTTTTAAGTAATATCAAAGATAAACAAAACTCGACATTAGTTAAAGCAGTGAAAGCTGGGTGAGGAGGGCACTTGTGATGAGCACTGGGTGTTACATGTAAGTAATGAATCACTAAATTCTACTCCTGAAACCAATTTTACCATATATGTTAACTAGAATTTAAATAAAAACTTGAAATTAAAAAAAAAAAAAAGGTAGCGAGAACAGATTTTATTCCGTAACCAGTAGGGGAAATCAGTAGGGGAAAAAGCTGGGCTCTGTTCCCACTTGTGCAGAGTTGACTGGGTGTTTTAAAGGGAGGATGAGGGAGGACAGAGAAAGAGGGGGCAGGGGCTCAAGTAGAGTCAGGGAAGTGAAAAAATTACAAAAAGTGGGTAAGAGTGCAAAAGCGATTAGGCCAGGTAGGTCTGCTAGCTGGCAATTATCAAAGATAGGGTGCTATTCCTACAGAGACTTCAAGATAGAGGCTCTAGCCTTCCTGATGATTACATTTCAACGGAACGGCTCTCAGGTCCTTAAGAAATATCTTTCTGAGCTGTAAGAAATACATACACATCTCAAGGGGGGAGAGGAAGAACTAACAATTGTAAGCCCTTTTTAGTAAACGCTCTAAAAAAGGGAGGTCAGGGTCCTATCTTTAAGTGTTGGCTAGAGCAACAGCCCTGAGCTTTCCAGATAGGAAATGGGTCATCTCAGGAACCAGCCTTAGGCTGCTAGAAGCCATACTAAGTTTGGCCAAGTCTCTTGGCGCAGGTGTTTGAAGGGAGTGTTTGTGTTGAGAAAAGTATTCACAGGTCTCTCACCTCCAGGTGACTGTAATGCACTCTTAAGCATGAGAATCACTGCTCTTCTAGAACATGCCATAGGTCCAAGTACAGATGGTTAAGTGAGAAGGTGCATTAGTAAATTGACTCCCCAAAGTTTTTTTTTTTTTTAAGATTTTATTTATTTATTTGACAGACAGCGAGATCACAAGTAGGCAGAGAGGCAGGCAGAAAGAGGGGAGGAAGCAGGCTCCCCGCCAAGCAGAGAGCCTGATGCGGGGCTCGATCCCAGGACCCTGAGATCATGACCTGAGCCTAAGGCAGAGGCTTTAACCCACTGAGCCACCCAGGTGACCCCAAAAGTTTTTCTATGCCTGTAATTTATTTCCTTTATTCCTATCCGGGTGGAAATGGTGCATACTTGGACCTGGTGGCTAATAATGGTGTGCCCCTCTGCTTTCCTAAAAGGGAATGCAGATTTTAATGGTGGTTAATCTATTTCTGTATTTCTCATGTTAGATCTATTGGTTGCAGTTAAGTTTACTAAAGGTTGCGGGATCAAGAGGAGCCACATTTAGGTTGTCACTGAAGTAGATGAGGAAGGGGCATGTCTACCCTATGCTGTTGCTTCTGGATGCAGAAGTTGCAAGTGACTTGCACTTATCCATGGATTCTGTTAGGTATGGGCATTTTTGGAATTGTAGATATGGGGGAAATGGCATGTGTTTATGGGCAGTTAAGTGGAGTATAGGTAAACATCTGGTGTTTTGTCTTCCCAGTACCGCTTTTCTACCACCTTCTCTGCCTTATCCTCATGGTTGTAGCAGGAGCCATCCTTTATGTACCTTCACAGAGAATTTGGGATTGAGCTGAAGAGTGAAAAATCCTGGCTGCATTCAACCACTTTATTTATTTGTTCCTCAGGTCCATCTGCATTATCCCTGGGTTTTGTGAGACACCACCATCTTTATAATAAATTCCTCTTTTTGCTTAAGCTTGTTCAAATTGGATTTCTATTACTTGTACACA